TTGTCTTGTTCATTCTGGCTAGGGTTCCATCAATCTTGTTTATGCTTGCAAAGAACCAACTTTTTGTTTTGTTGATTTTTTTCTATATTTGTGTCTTCTGTGTCCCATATTTGGGCTTTTACTTTGGTGATCTGGATTCTTCTGGTGAAGTTAGGGTTTTGGTGGTCTTACTATTTCAGCTCCCTTTGGTGATTTGTTGAGCTGTTAACTTGTGATATTTCTATTTTCTTGATGTGTGTTCTTAGAGATATACACTCCCTTCTTAGTATTGCTTTTATGGTATCCCAGAGGTTTTGGCAAGAGGTTATTTCATTTTCATTTGTTTCCAGTAATCTTTTATTTTCTGTTTTCATTTCTGTGTTGACCCAGGAGTTGTTCAGCATCATGCTGTTTAGTGTCTATGCTTTTGTAGGTTTTGAAGAAATTTTGTTGGTGGTGATATTTACTTTTATACACTGTGGTCTGTGAAGGTACATAACATAACTTCAATCTTATTGAAATTTGTTTATGCTTGATGTATGCTTGAGGATGTGGTTGATCTTGGAGTATGTTACATGTGGTGATGAGTAAAATGTATATTTCGTGAAAGTTGGGTGAAGTGTTCTGTAAGTATCTATTAAGTCCATTTGGTCACCTTTCAAGTTGAGGTCCTAGTCTCTGTTGATTTTTTGCCTAAATTATCTATCAGGATTGTTAGTGGGGTGTTTAATTCCCAAGCTATGATGGTGTTAGAGTTAAAATCGTTTTTTTAGTTTACTTAATAACTGTTTTATAAAAACTGATGCTTCTATTTTGAGTACATATATGTTTACGATGGATATTTCTTGTTCATGGATTGAACCTGTTATCATTATTTAGTGTTCTTTCATATCTTTTTAAATTTTTGATAGCTTAAATGTTGTTTTGTCTAATATTAAGATCATGACTCTTGCCTTCTTTTGTGATCTTTTAGCTGAAAATTTGTTTCTATCTTCTAACTTTGAGTTTGTGAGAGTCCTTTGTAGTGAGATGTGTTTCCTGGAGGCATACATGACCTCTTGGGTTATGCTTTTTTTTTAATCTATATCTTTTCAGTGTTGCATTTAGTACATTCATATTTAGGCTAATTATTGAAATGTGAGAGTCTGGCCCTGTCATAAGGTTCCAATAAGGCTGTTTTGTTTTCTTTTAGCTTTTGTGTTAATGTATGTGTGTGTTTTCATTTTTATGAGTTTACTGTGTTTTCCGTTGCTTCTGTGTTTGTTTGTGATCTTGGGAAGTATATGGTCTTTCTTTTGCTTCTTTTTTCTCTGTTCACAGCACTTTTTAAAGTATATCCTGTAGAGCTGCTGTGGAAGCAGCATATTTTCTTAGGGATTGGATGTCAGGGAAGGATATTAATTATCCATTGCTGATGATGCTTACCTTGGCTGGGTAGGAGATTCTTGGTTGAAATTGCTTATCTTTGAGAACACTACAAATTGGGGTTCAATTCCTCTGGCCGGTAGTGTTTCTGCAGTTAAGTCTGGGGTGATTCTGACTGGTCTTCCCCAGTAGATAGGGACCTTTTTCCCTTGCTGCCTTTAGGTTTTGTCCTTTTATGCCTACTTCGTGCAAGTGGATTACTATGTGTCTAGGGGTTCGTCTTCTAGTGTAATGTCTTCAGGGTTTCTCTGAATCTCTTGTGCTTTGATAGTTATCTCTCTGGGCAGATGAGAAAAGTTTTCTTGAATCACCTCACTCAATGTTTGTTCCAAGGTGTTTTCATTTCTCTTTCTTCCTCAGGTATGCCAATCGGATGTAGGATTGGCATCCTGATATAATTGCATATTCTTGGAGAGTTTCTTCTTTCTTTTTTGTTCTATATTTTGATAGATTATGTTAATTCCATATTTTGGTCTTCCAGCTCTGATATTCTTTCTTTTCTTCTGCTTGGTCAATTCAGCATCTCTTGCTTGTCAGTTTTTTTATTTATTTCTTGGAGGGAGTTCTTTATTTCTGTTATTTCTAAATTTGCTTTCGTGAATCTGTCCAACTCTGTTGCAATTTCATGTACCTTTAGCCCTTGAAATTCTTGATTTTTATTCATTCTATCCAACGATTATCAGATCTCTGTGAGTACCTTCTGGGTACTGTCATTTTTGGAGACGGCCATTGCTTGTACTCCAATATCTGTATTTACAGGCACTGACTCTGTTAGGACCTTGAAGGTTACCAGTGGTTTTTTTGTTGATTTTTCTTCATTTGTAGTAGTTCTCTTATCTTACTCTTTAATTCCATTGTTTAGTGGGGAATGACGAATCAATCACTTCTGATATTTGCTCTATCTTCTGATGTTCCCTGAACCAGGCCTCTAGGTTTGTTCAGTTGTGAAATAGGATTGGAATGGGGTGTTGTGCTATATCTCTACAATTTTGAGCACTTACTGTGTAGTGGGGGAGGGGCTGCAAGGATTCAGTTCCTATTGTCAGGTCACAATGAATGCTATCTGATAAATGGATCAGCTGGAATTCACTCTCCATAGCCACACAATATGACTTTACAATGGATACACTTGTGCAGCCCTTGAGTCCAAGACAGGGTATAAGAGAGAAAAGAGAGGGATGAAGGAGAGTACAAAGGGAAAGAAGAAGAAAGAGAGAAAATAAAAAACAACACAGAGAAAGAACAACAAGAGAAAGAAGGAAGAAAGGAAAGAGAAAACCAGCCAGAAAACAAACAAAACAAAACAAAAAGAAGCAAACAAACAAATAATTTAAAAAAGAGAAAACAGCAACAAAAACCAAAACCCAAAAATGCTGTTGGTAGAGATTTCTCAACTTTAGTATACCTCTTTGGGGGAGGGAGGTGCTCTCTCTTGTGGTGAGTTTTGCCACTGCAGGTCTGTAACAGCAGTTTCCCTCTTGCTGTTGAAACTTGAGAAGTTAGAATCTTCACCCCCCCGCTGCCTGCAGTTTATAGCTGGTGTGTTTAGGAGTGGAGGTGGGAAACTTGACTCAGCATCTCCCAGGTTCTCTTCCCATTACTTCCTCTCCCAGCATAGTCACAGCTCCCACAGCATCCAGTTGGTGGCAGGGGAATGGGACCTATGGCCTCTAACTTGCCCTCCTTGTCTCTTGTACCTGTTGTAGAGACCTGGGGGTGGTAATCAGCTAGGTACTCATCAGTCTCCTTCTCAGTCAGATATGCTGTATGCAACTGTCGCACAGCAGATGGTTCAGGATCGGGGGTGGGATTTTGTAGATCGTCTGGGACTCTGCATCTGCTGTTAACCACCAGAACTTGTGCACTGGGGTGATCCTCTGTGAGTTTGTGGAGAGCATTCCCGAAGTGATGCAGAGATTGCCACCTGGTCTTAAGACGTAAGTGTGCTGTTCCATTACATCCCCCCTGGAGCACTTCTCTGTGCAGGCTTTAGAGTGACTGCTCAGTTTCTCTACAAACGGCTATTATTGCCACAATGAGGTTGGGCAAGATAGCTTTCTCCCCAGCAAGTGCCACAGTCTCAGGATCTCTGGTCCCAGTGGCAGGGCATCACAGGCTAGCCTGGTGCTGGTAGCAGTGTCAGCAAGTCCAAGACCAGGGTGCCTGTCTCCTGTGCTTATTCTGAACTCTGCCTTTGGCTCCATCGTTGTGCTCCCTCTGCAATCCTTACTGCCAGTGTCCCATCTGGCACTGTGGTGATGGGTATGGCAGTTCCTCCAGCAGCTTCTTCCCAGGAAAAGCTTTGTTGATTTTAGAAAATGGCACTCAGCTTCTGTGCTTTGGGAAGTGCTAGGATCCAAGCAGAATGACTGCAGCACCAGCCACTTCACCAGATCCCTGGCCAAACAAGTCCCCACTCAGTCAGTCACTCAGACACACATGCAAATTCATCCATACACTCACTCACTCAGAGAGATTCATGCAGTCTGACTGGCTATGCCATCATCTTTGGATAGGTCATATATTTTTTTAATGATGTGACTTTCCTCAAACACACTACTTGCTTGCTTAAGGTTATCAAAACCATTTTAGAAATAAAATAACCTATTGAGACGTAAAATCCTATGTTCTACTATATAGGTAGTATAAGATCCTGCTCAGTTTATTGTGCTTTGTTTGCCTTGGCATTTCTCTGAGAACAATTAGTATTACACTTTTTTTGAACATTATAAATAAAGTTTGTGTGAGAGATTCTTAGTTTTACCATGTTCCTATCCATATAAATATTTGTATCTATATCCAGAGAGAATTGGAGGAAGCAGAAACAGACAGATGCCAGTAGATGTCCAAGCATCAGTGGCACACAGCAGGGAGCTCCCATCCAAGTCCTCAAGAAGTGGTGGAATTTCTTCATGTAGAAATTCTTACACTTCAATAGATTCTACTGAAAATATTAAAATATTATAAGAATCTATTCAAAATATTATAAGCGTCTTTGTTGTAAAGTCATCTCTTTGTTGAAGAATAGTATCAAAAAGCATGTATGTTTATAAAGCAAGGAGAAAATAAAATATTGAAACACAGGACTATAAAACTGAATACTACAAGTTTTATTCAAATATACATCTTGCAAATAAAGTGCTTATTAAAGCAGTTAAGGAATTGCAAGTCATTATCGTTTTTGATAGATGCATAATCTATACATATTAATATGTTAGCATGTTTACATTAAATGTTTACAAGGCATTATAAAGTAAATTTACATTAAGAAAAGAAATGGGATTGAAAATGATTGGTAATAAGAGAAATTTTTACATTTGAACAATGCAGTACTTTTTCTAGAGCATTTGCACATCAATATAAATTATATATTTGTTCCTGAGGTTTCATAATTTTGGCATCATAATTCTAGTTTTATAAACGTTGCTGTTTCTTGGATGGGGAAAAAGAGAATCAGAAGTTATATCACAACAAAGGACAAATATCAAATGTTAAATTCCAGATAACATCGTATATTTTGACTACATTATTAAAATGCAGTTTCTTTAGGTATCTGAAATGTATGCAAATGAAGAAATGTTGTATTGCTTATCTAGGTGAACCAAGTCCTCCATCCATACATGGACAGCCAAGCAGTGGGAAGAGCTTTAAACTCAGCATCACCAAGCAGGATGATGGAGGGGCTCCCATTTTGGAATACATTGTGAAATATAGAAGTGTGAGTAACTTATTTATTATCACTTTGTATCAAGATTTTTCAAATTGTGTTCTGCAGATCAGAAGTGAATGCATATTCAGGAACTGCAGTGATAAATGCTAATTTTCTATTCCTAATATTCATTATTGTGACTTAGTTTGGTAAAATTTAAGTTAGGACCATCAAAATAATCTAGTGGCTTTCATCTTGTGATTTTTAGGTGTGAAATGGGATTTAGCAACATTTCAGAAATGAGACTGCATGTTCCCTGTTTGTCTGACAAGTTTCTTATTTCCACTTGCTCTTAGTAACTTCAGGCTTAATTTAGGTAGGATTATTTGAACATCACACCTCTGAATAAATTACTTTAATCAAATAGTCAGATTACTTTATATTAACATTTAACAAACAGTGGTCACACTGAACTTGAGGAGAGGGAATAGTTTACTTCAGGGTTAATTGAAACTAGCCAGTAAAGGGCTTTGGACAGCTAAGTACTATATGAGGACTTTTGATAAGTCTAGGGAAAACGAATGTCCACTGCTTGCAGAGTGATGAATGAGGTGGCCCTATGAACTTTGCCTCTTTGCTTTCAGTTGAAATGATTCTGGCCGGGCTCGGTGGCTCAGCCTGTAATCCCGCGCCTTTGGGAGGCTGAGGTGAGTGGATTGCCTGAGCCCGCGGGTTCGAGACCCGCCTGGGCAGCGAGATCTCATCTCTACAATAAATCAAAAAAAAAATCAGCCGGGCGTGGTGGCGCATGCCTGTAATTCCAGCTACTTGGAAGGCTGAGGCGGAAGGATCGCCGGAGCCCAGTAGGCCGAGGCTGCGGTGGCCGGGAGCGGCCACTGCACTCCAATCTGGGTGACAGAGTGAGACTCCGACTCAAATAATAATAATAATAATAATAATATCATGGTCTAACTATCTCTAGTCTCGTTACTGCCGTCTTCCTAAAAACATACATTTGATCATGCAACTTTGCTGCTTGAACATTGTTAATGACTGTGCACTAGACACAGGATGAAGTTAAGCGTTCTGGCATAGAGTACATGGTTCTTTGCAGATGAGAGCCATCTTCCATCATGCTATCTGTTCTAGCAACTGCTTCACTCATCTTTCTTCAAAGGTTCACAGTATGCCTTTCTCCGATTCTGTACCTTTTGCTTTGAAATGCTTCTTGCCCTTCCAAACAGGACTCTTGTTTCTTCTTCTCTCTCCCTATTCTTGAAGACCCAGTTCTAATGTTACTGCTCAGTGAGTTTTCTCTGACTTCTAATAATCATTATAACACTTTTCCCCAAAAATAATGACAGCAGCTCACACCATGTGCCAGACACCGTGCTAAACATTTCATATTTATTGCGTCATTTAGTATTTTTAACAACACTATGAGATAGTGCTGATATTAGTCGCCATTATAAAAATGGGGAAACAGGTTAGAGAGGTTAACTAGAATTAACAGTTTCCCTGAAGTTCACTAGGACTTTATCAACTTCTCCATTATTGCTCCATAACCCTGTTATCCACATATTTATTCAAGTGGCTTCCCTCTCTCCCCCTTCTTTTTATTTTTTTTTGAGTTGGAGTCTCACACTGTCTCCC